GATCGTCTGCTGCAGCTATGCTCAGACAATCGTTTATTTTTAGCAAACACAAATTTTAAGCATAAGGAGAGACATCGTCTAACATGGCGACCCCCTACACCAAACCAACGATGGACTCAAATAGACCATATTGCCATCAGTCATCGTTGGAGAGGGTCGGTAGAAGATTGTCGCTCATTCTGGAGTACCTGCTTGGACTCCGACCATGCCCTAATACGGGCACGCATCTGCTTGCGCCTCACTGGACGCAAAAAAGCCACATTAAAAAGACCCGTTAGAACTGAGTTGAGTAACGAGAAAACCAAAAGTAGGTTCCAGGAACAACTGAGGTCACACTTAGGTAGTTGTGAAGACGAGGCTGACCCAGATGTTGCTTGGAAGGCCATACAAGCAGCTGTGGAAACAGCAGTGACATCTATTAGTGACTTAAACCACAGAGTTACAAGGAACCAGTGGATTTCTTCAAGGTCTGTCACACTGATGGATTCTCGCAAACTCGTCCCATCAGGTTCTGAACATGATGAAGAGCGAAAACAAATCAGATCTAGGTTAAGAAAAAGTCTAAGGAACGACCGTGAGCAGTGGTGGGTAACGAAAGCAAAAGAGATGGAAAAGGCGGCGACTATAGGGAACACAAGACAGCTTTACAGACTAATAAAAGAAACTGGAATTAATAAGTCAAGTGTAAGTGAGATTATTTCGGAAAAAGATGATACTCTCATCTGCTCCCAGTCCAGACGTTTAGAACGATGGGCGGAACATTTTAGAGAACAGTTCAGCTGGCCTTCAGCTACTCTACAACTACCCTCCATTCCCAGACAGTGTGAATGGAACATTGAAGTAGGTCCCCCAACTCTTGCTGAAGTTGAGAAGGCTATAGTTAATCTGAAACGAGGAAGGGCAGCTGGTCCAGATGGATTGGCTCCAGAAGTCTTTAAGGATGGTGGTCCAATTTTAGCGATTAGGTTGACTAATATTTTAGCTAAGATCTGGGAATTAGACGTTATCCCATCTGACTGGTCGCAATCACTTATCGTCCCAATATATAAGAAAGGGTCAAAATCATCCTGTGACAACCACAGAGGGATTAGTTTAACAAACATAGTATCTAAAATACTGGCCTCGATAATTATCAAACGCCTAACTAAGACTCGTGAACTACAAACACGAGAGAACCAAGCTGGCTTTAGACCTGGTCGTGGCTGCATCGACCACATATTCACCATTCGTCAGGTTCTAGAACACAGGCATACCTATCGGCGTCCGACGATGGTGGTCTTTCTTGACTTAAAAGCAGCATTTGACTCTGTAGACCGCGAGACTCTGTGGCAGTGTCTGTCATTGAAAGGCGTACCTCAGAAGTACATAAACCTTGTGAAGGCTCTTTACTCGAACACTACTAGTCGAGTCAGGGCTTATGGCGAACTGTCATCTACTTTTGCAACCTCAAGTGGTGTCCGTCAAGGCTGCCCACTTTCTCCATTTTTGTTTAACTTCATCATAGACCTATTGATGGAAATAACACTCTCGTCGACTGAATTCTCGGGTATTGATCTCCTTCCAGGAGGTCCACTTATCGACTTAGAATATGCAGATGACATAGTCCTGTTTGGTGAAGACGCTGACAAAATGCAGAGTCTTCTGGTAGCACTAAGCAACAATGCCAGAATGTTTGGGATGCGCTTCTCTCCCTCTAAATGCAAGTTGTTGCTTCAGGACTGGTCTGCGTCAACACCTGAACTAAGGATAGGGAGTGAAGTAGTCGAACGCGTTGACAACTTCACTTATCTTGGAAGTCTGATCAGCCCTAATGGGTTGGTGTCTGACGAAATCTCAGCACGGATTCGTAAAGCTCGTTTGGCTTTTGCCAACTTACGTCACCTTTGGCGGAGGCGAGATATCCGTCTATCAATAAAAGGACGAGTATACTGCGCGGCTGTCCGTTCTGTTTTAATTTACGGCAGCGAAACATGGCCCTTAAGAGTAGAAGACACCCGTAAGCTACTAGTATTTGACCACAGATGCCTTAGAAATATTGCTGGCATCTGCTGGGATCACCGGGTAAGTAATAGTGAGGTTAGACGCAGGGTATTAGGGAATGATGGTAAATCAGTTGATGAGGTTATGAATCTTCATCGACTGAGATGGTTGGGCCACGTATTACGTATGCCTGAACACCGATTACCGCGACGTGCAATGCTAACCGGTGTAGGGGATGGTTGGAAGAAAGTTAGGGGCGGCCAAACCAAAACGTGGCATCAGTGCCTGAAGTCACTAACTTCTAGTCTGAGCCATGTTGGTAGATGCAGACTACTTGGTTGGGGTCCGCGTGACTTTCGTAACCAATGGTTGGAGACTCTTGGTGACATGGCTCAGAATCGATCACAATGGCGTCGGTGTATACACTCCCTGTCTTCTCTTAAACTAAGAGATTAAGATCACTTCACATCTTTCTTTCTACGAACTAATTCTTTCTTCCTATACTATATCCTTATTGCAATCTTTCTCCTATATATTACCACCTTTGACCTAACCACTCCTATGAATCCGGTGTTCATCTTGCTGTGCTAATGAGGTATGGCAACCTGGGCCGATGCATACATGTGCCTGGTCCTACGTTGTAGCTGACTGACTGACTGACTGACTGACTTTGTTCAATATTCTTGGGCTGATATCTGTCTCACACTCCATTTATCACAGCATCTGAATTCATTTCTGTTTTGTTTTTACGTCTTTAGCATATTTTACGTGTTTGATTCTTAATATGCTGTAGTATTTGAACTTCTTTGTTTGTTTTTTCCTTGTACACACTGTTTCTTATTAAAATTATTCCGTTTTGTTTTTGTAATTTGATTGTCTAGCATTATCTAATTTACCCTTTATTATTATATAGTAATGTTCCGAACAGATTTTTGTGTGATCAAACATTTGGAATGCATCGCGCTAATATATCACGTTGCTCTGCTAATCATCTTGTTTTTTGTCTATTGATGATACTCGAATCTCCGTTGAGAATTCAAGACCTAGCATGATAGGTGATAAGTTTGACTCCTGATGCTCTCTCAGATGATGCACTTTAAATAGCCTCATATTTCGATGATTCTGGCAATATTATGAACCTCTCTTTGACCGTTTCTACCAATCATTTCGGTGAGATTATCTCATATCAATCGAATATACGTAACTTCTATCCTGATCAGCTTAACGCATAAGAGTCAAGCTGTTCTCACGTGCGTGAACTAACCTCGACAACCATTCCCAACTCAGTTTAAAAACAGAACTACGAGTAGTGATTGTGTTTCGATTCGCGTTTAAGCACACATACTCCTCTCATAATGCAAAACTCCTTTTCCTAAAGGTCGTAAAACGTTTTGAAGCAGAATTACCCTGTAGTGACTTACTTTTATCAAGAGAACGCGATTGGTGTAATGGAAACAATTTTTATTATAACCAATTGTACCTGGGATTGTTTCACCGTACTCGTTTGTTTAACTGTACCAAATTACATACATTCTCCTGTTGATTGTGACCTTGCATGAATTCGGTTATGCTCAGTAACCCCACTTATAACCTGAAACGATCTCGGTATTCTTTCGATACCACGAGATCGCCAACAAACACATCTCGACTACAGCCACCAACTGCCTTCTCATATTTGGCCTACGAGGGATCTTATCGGTTAACTGGCACGTAGTCTTCCTGTAGTGGTGATCACAGTCAACCGCGATTCGACGCCACACTACAACCCGATTCCACTTCGTGAACGGAGAACTCCGTATTGTTCTAAACCAGCATTTGGAAATTTGTTGTTCTAAGGCATAGACGATTTCATCAAAAATATTATTTTGAGGCGCAAAAATATGTTGTAAGCTTGGAAACGTCCATTCAGCACCACTGTATTCATTGTTCGCATCAGAAACTAAAATTTCCATCACTTTTCGAGCAATAACACGTGATTGTCTAGGCAGGTGTTTTAAAACTTACCTGTCTGTGTTATATGCAGCTGAAAGGTTCATCAAAACACATACTGTAAAAAGAGAACACAAACTCCCATAATGCTCTTCCAACCTTATGAATTCCATATATCCATGGTTACCTGATGAATGATCGAGCCAGCAACAGATAAATATTATTAGATTAAAAAATTTGCTAAGTGTCAGATTATCACGCTCTCACAATCGAAAACTGTACACTAGGCAATGTTGTTTCTGCAGAATAACATGCGATTAGGCCTATCGTTTGTCTTAGAAAACAATTCTATTTTCGTCTCATTTGCGTGTCAGATTCTGGCTTGACGTCCGAAAGTAATGTTGACTCAGTTATGTTGAGATTTCAGTACGTTGATAGAGGCTGAGTTTAAACGTAATTTGTAGGTCTACTGGATGGTCGGAACCGCCTAAATAGAAAATCCGACTACGAGTTACGTAATTACTCTTCACCTAATAAGCATTAATGTTACTGCGATCGACCGTATTGAAGTAAGGCTTTTAATTATCATTTATTAAATAATTTCCTAATAACATGCTATATCTTGGGGAGTTTCTTATGTAACAGTATCAGTCCAAACACAGACTCAAAGAGCTCAAAAATGGAAACTTTCAAGTTTGAACAGAGATCTGGAAAATGCAGGAATTCTGGAGACGACTGTTACTAGCTTTGATGAAAGCAGACTTGATAGCCATTTTTTAAATGTTTCTAGTTGATGTTAACACACCAAAACTTTATCCAACAAACCAACATACGTCACATCATACGCACGGAAATCATCCCAACTGCATCGGATGCCGAATATCACCAAGTAGCATAAGAAAATACGGAAAACCTACAATGCATGCATAGAGAATAAATAGAGAGAACTGAAGCGAGCTTGACCACGACTTAGCATGTGTATTTTGAGGAATCAGTCATTCACTGTAATTCATTAGGGATTATTCACTGTATCGACTATCAGATACAGAATAGTCCGCACAAGTCAGTTAACGGATAGTTTCGCCGTGAATGGGGAAGATCGTCGAGATCACGGACAGACGAATGATCGCTTGTGAACAGGCATGGTTATTAAGAAGCATTGCAAACAATGTAATCCAAATTGAAGGAAATAATGACGAGCAAAGTCAGGCCAACAATCACCCACAAAGCATTTTGCGCTAATTGAGAAAGATTCTGTATTTGAGAAGCACAATTCGAGAAATTACAAACTGGTATTTAATGAATTTTAACCGAGAATATTTCCTAAAACACACATGACATGAATGAATAAGTGTAGGAAATTCATGTTGTTCACCTATTGGATGATGTGCCATTGGCTAATTTTCACTAACCTTCCTCATTTCGTTGCACATGTGAACCACCACTGAATACATCCGACTTAATGATTTTCGGTGAACAAGCTAACGAAACTCAGTCATTGTACGTGGAATATCTTTGAAGTAAATCATTTTCACAAACAAGACATCCTAAAAGCCAATTCGTGTTTGTCTACTCACGTATGCTCGCTATAATGTTATAGTGATTATGCATATTATTCACTGCAAACAAATACTCAGCGTTTTCTTTTCAAAACTAATGTAGATAACAAGAGTCAACAATTTAATTACTATATTCCATGTATTGTGTGTTAAAATTACAGAATGTGATTCAAGAATATTGTTAAGTTTACTACAGACTAAAACAGTGTTTATTTAATTTGATTTGATTGGGTCATCTAAAAGAAAAGTGTATGAAAGCTTTGATTATTCTTGGTAGTAATATGCTTTTGAATGAGACTGATAACCGAGCATGCAATGTGTAATGATATAACAAAAAGGAGGGTGTAAATTTAATCAATGGTAATGAGTATTGTAGTCGAGGGATTAGATGACGGTTAGTTCAACGTTAATTTGTCAATTGTGTTTGATCGGTGGACAACAATTGTGTCCTATCACAATTTGTGCAACACTACAACAAATATTCTGCTTCACTATAATCATCTGAATGAATATGCACATAATGAAGGCACATGTATACAGCGATTCTGGAACAATTAGCGATTTGCACGGGTAACATTGATGTTGACAACTGAATGTTGATCACATCCAAATTGAACACATTTTCACAAATGGTTACAAAACATTTTGATCGAACCATATTCATCCAACAACCACAATCTGTGACTCGAAATTGAAAGCATTTTATGAACAGTAACTACCATGCTACATGGTCATGTTTAAATGAACTGTCTATCTACCATCACTTTTCAACGAAACTTGAAACTACTGATAAGTTTAAAAACACAGATATTTGTTAAGATCCAACTATAACACAACGATTCACTACTCACTTGTCACTCTTCATCTGACCGATCTGTTAATTTGTAAACCAAGTGAACAGTGAAAATCATAAAATGAAACTACAACCGTAACAATTTTGTTGACATGCATACTCCCTATTGCCGTACTGTTGTTTGATGAGGCCACCTCAACCGATAAATATTTGCATGAGTCTATTGGCTGTTGAAATCGTGATTTCGTTAGCCAACAAATTGATTCGCGTTTCATGAATATAAGTCGTGATCTTAAGGAACGGAACTGCGTTAGACCCTGTAACGGTCGTCACATATTCGAATTACATTGATAACAGACGTCTGTATACAGCACTTTTGTTTACAGTCTCAATATTGTCGACTTGATTTGACAGCACTTGATGTGAAAGTGAGTTGGTGAGACCAGCTTGAAAACGGCATAACAAACTGTCAGTTTGTTTTTGGTGATTCAGAGAATATCAACAGTAAAGGGGATGGTTTATTGAGAGCGAATCACCAATATTGCAAATTGTTAACAGAATTTGTTTGAAAAGTTATTTCATTGACGTCCTAAACAGGTTATCCCATCTGTATATTGAAAACCGACGCCACATGGTCTTGTCGTTGTGAATTAAGAGAGTCTGTATACCTCGACTTGAGAGTGAACCTGACTCCAATTCGAAGGTTTCTTTTATTTTTACAAGTTATGCTAAAGTATTTGTGGTTGGTGGTCTAGTTCCACGATGTAGACATTATCACATGGATAAGGCATTTCTACTGCTTGCTATGTTTATGCTGTTCCGGTTTCATACAAATCTAATAGGTCGTGTTCTGTGTTCCGATTGTTTTTCTCACTCACAATACTTTCACAGAGACTCACGGTTTGATCGGGCTACTAGTATCAAGGGAGGAAAGGGAGAATACGATATCCATTACGTATTCACTTGCATCCACTTTGAAATTGCAAAGCGATTTTCAACAGATACTGACAGGTATCCTTAACATTTACGCAATCTAGATAAACAATCACCGAGAATCATATTTGTGGAATCCACAGTAATATAAGTTGTAATGAATGATTCACTTATAACGTAGATAATTTCAGTGCAATAGGGCACCACAATAATTTGCCATAACAAACTGAAAGTCATGAATAATCAGGAGTAATGGTGAGTAATGTTACATGACGGTAAATGATTACGGGCAATGTCATCAGTCCCATGTGATCATTGTACAACATGTGAATTCCATGGTAACGTTTATGCATTGAGCGACATATTTCACAACTTACCAGATGGAAACGAAGCATAGATACAGTGACCTATATTTTGAAAGACAATTAAGTAATATTCATCAGTGAGAACTGCAAATGAATTGTGGTTAGAAAAATTGAAGTGATAAATTGACGTAAATAAACTTCAAACAAAGTTAAAATAGACGGCTATCATTATGTTTGCCTGTCCCTACTGAAACAAATACGCAGTACAATTAAATTATCACTTTAGGAAAAAGAAAGTTGGAGGTGGAGTAGGTGGTTTGCATCTCGTTGAAGGAGCTTACAGGAGTTGATTTGACTAGTCGATTTGTTTCGATCACGCTTTTCCCATTGTTTCTACAAACAACATTATCATCACATACTTCAGCATTTATGTAAGCATACCCAAATAACATGGCAAACAGGTCGGTAGAAATAGGGATTAACGACTGCGTCGTATGACAGCTGATAGATGTAGTTGAAGTGCCAGCAATTACACTATTAGCAATCGTTGGGAAACCACAGTACGAAACGACTGTAGCAAACAACCAAAAGTCATTTACTAAATAGACCGTTCTAATGACAAAAATCTCAATATAGAACAACGTTGATGACTCCTTGATGTTTGTCCTCATGAACGTCAATTAACAGTAAAACGTTATGATAAATCTTCGTTTGGATCATTGCATAAGAACATTTGTGAATACTCGTTTGACTGGAAAGATATTGAAATCCTTGATAGAAAGGATACTACGTACACCATAGGATCTTTCCGTAGCTTGACACCTAACTAAATCAGCAATTAACAAACACATCGAAATCATTACAGACTTTCAATCAATCGAAATATTCATCTGCGAAAATAGAACCAAGAATTAGGTCGAAGCGAGATACAATCAAAATAAGGAAACAGATAATGTCAGGTTCGTTAATACCTCGGATTTGTACAAATGATATCATTGAGAAGAATAATCCCGTTTTTGATAGTCTTGCTGAGATCACATTAGTGTTGTTGCATATGTGCAACATGTGTGCACTACATCCACATAATCTTAATCATGATACAGACAACTGACAAATCGCAAGTAGAAAAATGTGCTCGAATATATTCGTGATAAAATGCAAAGAAGTTATTCCAGTATGATCAATTTTTAATGTTACCTGTATAGTTCAGTTTCAAGTTTTCTAATTCAGAGATTCGTATAATTGACGGCAAACCTTGGAAATAATTTTGATGAAAAAATTCAACAAGACGTAATTTACACCATGATGTAAACCGACTTTGTGATATCGTAAAACTCGACAACAAAGAGCGGATGAATCGAAGGACAGGTACATGAAACAGTGCAGTGTGTTAAAAAACATTGATGGAAAGTTTGCACAGAGATGTTAGGAACTCAGTGACATTTTGATAAGCAGGAAAAAATTTAAAATCAGACAAGATAAGTCATGAGTTTATAGAACGAACGGATGAAGGAGATTTCTGATTGCCAAATTCGTACAAATAAAGAGTGAAGGCATTTGTAAATAGAGAGATTATTATAAGAAAGAGATCAAGCAGAATACAGGAGTTCGTTGAAAACTGTAAGTAGGTGAGAGCAGGAAATTGAACGGTTTAAGATCACGACTATATAATGTGAAAAAATATCGTAGAACGATTAAGTGGAGCATAAAGAACAGGTGTTACGAACAAGCACAATGAATCAGAAAAGTGAAACAAAATTGTGGAAAAATGTTGCTGGAGACAATGATCACCAGCATATGAAGATCAAAAGTGACATGTCTCAAGACCGTTGATTTACTAATCAGGGAGAGATAGAAATCATCAATTGTGCAAACATACCGAGAGACGTTTGTTCCTTGTCAATCTTTTTCTCAGGTTGAGATACTTCGCTCTGTATGGTCGACTTCTCACCTAAATGACAGGAAGGCATCGAGAAATAAACCGACAGAGTAAGTTCAATGGGACAATGAAAAAGTCTAAAACTGATGACTGAAAAGTCATTCACTGACTACATGAACAAAAAAATGACATGTCTCAAGATCCTCAATTTGCAAATCAAAGGGAGAGAGAGAAAGCATCAGTCAATCAAACATACCGAGAGACGTTTCTTCTTTATCAGTCGTTGTTCCAGGTTGAGATATTTCGCTCTGTATGGTCGTTTTTCCATCTAAATTACAGGAAGACATCGAGAAATAAACCGACAGAGTAATGAAATGGTCTAGAACTGATGTCTGAAATTTCATTCACTGGTCGCCTTATGTTCTTGTGTACTAATGCCTGAGTGCATTTGTATGCGTGTTTGCTTTTGTGCCTATACTCGTCTACATTATTTTCATCTGTCGCGACATCTTTCAGCGACACTTGACGTGAAGTGAAACATACAGTGGTTTCATCCATTCACTTCATCAAAAGTCCTATACAACTCCTAGGTAAGATTAAGTACACTCATAATTAGCAGTGATGCATAAACTCAATGTTGCCAGCGAACAAATCAAAGCTTTGGATTTATTATGTGAACGACAAGTTGGTCATCGTCGAAAAGTACGAGTTGTAAAACACATATAATCTGATCAACAACATATTTGATGGCATGCACACCATAATGAAAATGGGGTCGAACAACAAACGATCACACATGAATGTTCTGATCAACAGAACTGACTCAGTGAAACTGGAAATTCAAGTAAATCGTAAGCCGACCAAGACCAATTACAGTAGAAACAACCCATGAACTCACAAATTCAACTGCGCACAAACTTTATTCAAGAGGGTGGGGACGCACTGCAACACACTTGTGGCGCGACAGATGAAGGAAAATATCTGAAGAATATTCTCATCAAAAGAGCAGCTATCCGGTCAACTGCATCAAAACTAGCAACCAAATGTGTCGGCAGGAACAAAATCAAGCACAGAATCCAACAACCGAATCGTCCTAACACATATGAACTACACACAGTAAATCACAACGAGATTGTCGAAGCTGTTTGGATTTGGTTTGCACACAACCCAGCAAAGTCACTTCAATCAATTCTATGCAAACAAAAGGACGAAACCGTGAGAGAAGTAAAACCCAACATCATCTGCAAAATAAGTTGTTCCAGCTGCAATGACCGATACATCGAACAAAGTGGATACTATCTTCATCTTGACCTACACGAACATCGATTGGCGGTCAGACGCCATGATATATCCTCGCTTATATCAATGAATTTAGACAACTATGGTCACACATTCGACTAGAAAAATGTTGAGATCTTGGATAGAGGGATTGCTATTAGCACCAGAGAATTTTTAGAAGCTTAGCACTCAGGTGAATCAGCTATCGACAAACACAGTGAACTAGGTCCGATCTGTCAACCAATCAATCAGAAAGATCATAAGCAAATATAAAATAAATAATCAGATCAAAAGGAGGTGAAATCAAGAGGAGGAAACAGGCAATGACAGATTGAAGGTCAACAGAAATTCACCTGAATAACGGCACTTCTACAAGTATTTATAGTCATGAAGGTCGTATCACGAACTGTGGTTGACTTTTTCACTAGTAAACATAAAAGAGAAGATTCGTGTTCTTGTCGAGTGACAATATAATTCGTTGTGTGGAACTTGATGGTATCTGTGGTCGAAGTATATCCAGTACCAAGAATATGTGAGATCAATGGAATTTCACCACTGCTCTGTATCATTTTATGTTCTATCGATGTGTAGCACAAGTCATACACACTACAAGTGAAGGTGACTGCATGTGCTGGTCAATCGTGTGCCTGATTTTTATTAAACCGTGTAATTGAATTTCGTTGAGCTCGACGTGGTTTCACTATCGAGTGTCGAGTGATAGGCGTCTTTGTTTGCGACTTATACGATGAGTATACAAAAATGGCAATTCCCAACTGGATGACAAGTAGACATCGAGAAACAAATCAACAGAGTAAGTTCAGTGAGACAGTGAAACAGAATAAAACCGATGACTGAATAGTCATTCACTAACCATATAAATACAAAAGTTGATATGTCTCAAGCTCCTTAATTTGCAAACCAGAGAGAGAGAGAGAAACCGTTAGTTGAGCAAACTTACCGAAAGTAGTATTTTTCTTGTCAATGGTTATTTCGGGTTGAGTTATTTTGGGCGGTTTGATCGTATTCTCACCTAAATAACAGGAATGCATCAAGAAACAAACCGACAGAGTAAGTTCAATGGGACAATGAAACAGTCTGGTACTGATGTCTGAAATTTCATTCACTGATCGCCTTATGTTCTTGTGTACTAATGCTTGAGTGCATTTATGTGCGTGTGTGCTTGTGTGTTTGCTCTCGTCTGCATTATTTTTTAATCTGTCGCGACATTTTTCAGCGACACTTGCGTACACTTTCCTTAAACATTTTTCGATAATAATTTTGTATTCTTCACCTGTTTTGCAGAATTACTCACCGCTTTCACCCTCATATAGTAATTCATAAATAGACCAGTAAATTCTTCTATATACATTATGCTCTGAACAGCAATACCCTTTCTTCATAAGTTCTCGGTAGTCCATCGTCGTGCTTATATCTCCTGTCAACACATCGAAGGAGCAGTTCGTCATTGTTTCACCGAATCCAGTATATATATTCGACATAATGATCTTCAGCTGAAATCAAAATATTGAGACAGTGTTTTATGGCATAAATATTTATCCTGTAATCTACTGAAACAATATCTTTTCTAAACAATTAAGTATTGTGTACTCGTCGGTATGTGTCATATAAGAACCTTGTGGGAACTTGATCTCATTATTCTATGAAGTTGTTTTTATATAAATTCTGATGAAAGCAGATAACAAATGACACGAAAGTCACATAACATTGATGGTTGACATTCAGGTCTACAGAATATCAAGAAATTAATATATTCATCAACAAATGTCATCGAAACGAATATCGACGGACTTCTCGTTGAAATTGTGGGATTAACGGTACGAAGATATCAAAACTAATGCAATCAACCGAAATCTGTAAACTCTTTAAATCAACACGCGACTGCTACTTGATCGATCGACGCGAAATGCAATGGATTCAAGAAAACTTTATAATGCATGACCAGATAGAAACTCACCTCACGGCACTTATCAGTAGTTACTAAACTCGTAGAATAGGTTTTTTGGAACAGATAGGATTCTAAAATGTACAAATTTCATTAAATATAGTTTGTAAAACGAATATTCACTCTCAAAAAAATATTTCATTAATCGATTTGTTAGTCAAAGCACTCTATTCAGTGGGTACTGTGAGCTGAACAACATATCGATTTTCGTGTTGACCGAGGAATCTGTGATAAAAACAGTGAGATTGTTCAGAGACTATTTAAATTCACTGATGATCTCACACTCGGCCAAACCATTGTGACGTTCGTTGTGACGAGGAGGTGAAACTGGTGCAGGAATGGTTATCAAAGTTTATGATCAAATTCTCAACACGATTAGCAATCTGGACACTGTTGAGCTGAACAGATCGAAACCAACGTGCCGAAGAACACGTGACCTTGTCTATGGTGAGAAAATCACTGAAATGCAGCGGAGTAATACACAGCATATCAGTTGAATACTATTTCCTATCAATCACTTGGTTCCGCTGTGTGAATCTAATGCAAGTGTGTTTGTGTGTCGAATATTTTCAAGCATCTCAAAGTCAGGAGCGTGTGACTGAGCAAATTATGGCGATCAATTAAAACGGCCTTAACGAGTCGAACGTTCCCGGACACATTCAGTAAACTGTATAATTTCACTACGATTGCATCTCCGATATTACTTTCGACTGGTACCCGTCATTCAGTTCACACAAAAGTCCCAAACAAAGCAATCAACCCATGTCATCTTGTCACATTCACACACACTTCTATTGAGGCCATCAAGAAATAACAGGAAATCCATATTCAAATCAACAGCCTCATATATAGGACAACTTACCACGGCCAACGGCTGTCGGATCTAAAATTCACAATAAATATTATTTTGTGGTTGATGACAACTGACTGACTCTTTCACTCATTCGACAACTCACATTTACAAATCATTACACAACATTCACTTCCTAAATTCCTACACCACATTGACAGATTATTGTGTTCAATATTCCTCAGTATCACTGACTTCAACAGATTTTACAATACACAAAACTACAGAATTTATTGTGAACTTACCACTCACTGAAACGATATCTGAAATGGAGTACAGTATATTTACTACTTAGTGATGAAAACTGCAAGCTATGTTATCTCAACTGAACACCGTACATATTGATCAAGTGTGGATATCAACTAGAAAATTGTTATGCATTGGTGATTCACTCACCAATTATCCACGCGCTATTCACATTCACATTACCCGATTCAAGTGAATTCTTCAACGATGGGAACCACGTTTTCGATGAAAATACTTTTCCATTTCACTCGATAACACTGCCAGTTCAACCTTAACAGTATCGACACGGATATCATTTGGCCTTTGTGAGTGATCGATATCACATGACAGAGTAGCAGAACTCAACTTTGGTTTCAATTCCTTCACCACATCCACAACCTTTAAGAAATCACATGAAAACACTATCCGTCAGATTATTTCGTTGAAGTTTTTGTGAAAGTGATCATTCTAACTCGAAATGTAAATTTTATTGATATTCACATGATTATTCATATCTGAAAATTTATGTCTATTTACTTTATTATAAAAATGGTTACTCAGACTTACAATTACCTAACACTGAATCATAGTGATATCTAACATTTACCCTTTAGCAACAAAATTTCATTTTTTACAAATGTTCACATCAATGTACACGTCCAATTGCAACACATCATCTAGCATTCATTGCCGCGTGTCCACTAGATCAATGAGTAGGTTCACTAGGAGATTCATGTGGTCAATATATATATATATATATATATATATATATATGAGGTAAAATGACTCGAATAATGTTGTCATACACGTCTCTTCGTGTTTTAGAACTCGAGTGAGAGCTTCTAGACTTACATTTGCACAGTATCTATCCAGAAGCTTTAGGGATTGTGCTACTCCCTTATTTTCAATTATTTCATCCCACTCCTTAACACGGACGGAGAGTGTATTTACAACGATATCTAAAACAAACCGGAATTCAAACATATTAGATGCAGGCACAATTCAAACACGAAAGTCATTCAAAACAGCAGCACGACTATCTCGCAGGAAATCGTACATGAAGCATTTTGAACGTGTCTAGACAGGGTGATCCAATATACGATTACTGATTAGGAGTTACTAAGTGAATGAGCTAAAGCAATAATCAACAATAAATCAAACCATACAAAACTGGGATGGTCACTTCAATTTCTTCCAAACTGAAACCATGAAAACCGTAGCGCATGACGATATTTGTTGTAGTTCGGATGTAAGAGAAGAATATGTGTGTGGTGTTTGAATGAACTAATGATTCCTTTGTAACTGTTGAATGTTTGATTTCGAATTCGAAATACAGTACATTCCTTCGTGCTTATATACTACTACTTGATCCAATTTCGTTATTTCTGGGATTCTTAGTTCGTGCTATATTTCAAATATTCCTAATTATCAAAATGTGTCGCGTCTGAACATCAAACCAAATTGTACTGCATATTTCATTCAATATACACAAAAATGAACGACTTTCGATTACCATTTTATACGAAACGTGATGTAAACGCAGTTCATCAGATGATATTACCGTTCAAATAACTTACCTTTACTTGAAAACTCAAGAGTCTGAGCTGCCACTTCTTGATCTCCTGTGACGTCAACAAAAAACAATGGAAATGATGAAGATGAGACATTCACATGAATTGAGAAACGCTTCATCAGTTTACTGACGAGTAGACACAACAAGTGATTGGTCAGTGAGTAGTGAATAGTACCACGGTTACATAATGGTATTAACGGCATTTAGCATTGAGTGGATTAGCCACTAAACAGTATTCAGTCAACAAGGAATTCGCCTATAGACAAGAGTCCAGCTGTCGAAGAATAGCTCACTGTTGATGTCACAGATTGTGGAGCTATTTTACATGGGGTCCAACACACTGTAATGCAACACTTCCTTCAAAATTTCAGACAGACTTTGCTGACTAGTGGCTATCAGCATGAACAACGATTTTAGCTAATACTGACAATGAACTCCAACCACCGAACGAACTAGATGCATGTTTATCAAGAATCATTCAGAATAATATGAGCTGTTTGATTTCGTATGACATCGTGAGCAAAATTTATTGGAATCACTAATTCTCGTCTTTCATTTGAAAGCAATACCATCACTCACATATTCACATCAATAGACATTTGCTTGATCAATCGACTAAACACGTCTACGGTGATCCTGTTGATCTACTGTACTTCAAACTCCTTTATATTGAAGTAGGAGTTCAAGTGATTATCACAATTCACAGAGTCTCGTCTGTTTTTCTGTGAAACCTATGATGCATTGGACAACATCAAATCCTATTTCATGTGATGTGCGGTCCAGTATGCTTCCATTGAGTGCCATTTATTCATTTCTCCTGCTGACAACTTCATCTACAACGAGACTGATGACACTCGAATATGTTCACAGCGCTATGTGGAGGTTCATCCGTCAACTCGTCATGAGTTTATTATCGGCGCAAGAAGTACACATAGATTGTTCACGTTACACTGAAAACCACGTAGCGATAACAGTGTAGACTGGCTATGGTACAGGATTTGAAAAACTGGGTGTCGACACAGTCTGGTGAACTGTTCACGAGTACAATTTGTCGTTTAACAGTTGTCGTTCATTACTTTGAGTTTCCATACTAGAACTAACCACTTCTTGCGTGTTCTCTGGTCATCACTGTTAGCCTAGCAAGGGTCAGCACATGATTCGAACTAAGGATTTGAAACATCTCATTATAACGGACAGAAACAATCATAAATAATCGATTCGCAGAGGATTTCGTCGTTTATTATTCATAGTTATCATTTTCGAGAAACCATCTGTTTTCGAGCATCACGGTTGTGTGAAAGCTTCACTTCAAATTTTCACTAAATGTTTAGATTTAAAGTCTGTCATTACTTCTACTAAGGAGAAATACGAAGTAAATTCTAGTTTTCCACTACGCGTTCAATCAGGACATTCTTCCACTGTTTATATCATCCAATGGAGATCTATTGAAAACTTCAGTCGTTCGTATTGATAGTAAGTCAGAACAGTGTTGAACGAATACTTTCTTTATGGTTCTTTGATAAGGATTACAAACAGGCAAGTATTACAACTTATGCTGCAGTCACATTGTATCACGTGATACAGGTAAATGTCATGCAGTTTTGTCAGGACAATATTGCTTTCTAATATCGTCATGTTAGCAAATTTCAAAATGCTTACGGTGCACGAACGATGAATTCTTATTTATCAATCAATGACTTGGGCAAGGCTTTATTGGAGCCTGTAGACTATCAAGGCATTTGACTTATTATACTACCCGTGAGTTGTTCGGAATTAGTCATAAGGAAGCAGAACTTAGTATGATTCCATACTGATTGATACTCAACGGTGAATTATATTGTGATTGTAGGAGAACCAATGCTCTATATGGAGATCGAATGCGTGTTAACATCTTTCACAATATGAAGAGTGCTCGTCAACGCACACTAATGACGGGCGACTTCCTGGTCAATCAAAATATTTAAGACGGTTCATCACCGTATAGTGACTAACGACATTATTACTGAGTGATTATTTATGTCAAGTACATCGTCATATGAATGAAAGTAAAGATGGAAACGCACATTTAGAAAGTTTCAAACTTACCTGCATTGCAGACCAGGAGAAAGAAGAGAAACCAAACAACTGCTACTTGTGATCTAAACATATTTGCTCACTGTAATTCACCAAGTTTTCTGAAATCAATTACACAGTTTACGTCCTGATTCCTGTTTAAATACAATGATAACGTGTCATTCTAGTCACAATTAAAACGTATGTGATTGGCAAGTGTAAGGATAGAATTTATCCGATTGGTCGATGCCACATTTTCTAGACTATACCAAGGTCAAAACCAATGTGAATGAGACCATCATTCAAAAAATCAATAAAAGTAACCATCACGTGTAACGAGATAAAGTCCAAACAAATAGTCATTCAATCTTTGATAAATTCACCAAACTATTTTTCATCTTTTGGTCACCTCTTTCATAATCATACACCAGTGTTACTTGAGAACCTGAAATTAAAACACTTACCACACCGTTTAATTTCACTCCATCCTGACCACAAATTCCATGTCAACTTGCGTATACGCCTATTCAGTTTCCGGCTGAAATATCCTCAAAGGCGTTGAAAAAGTATGATGGCGTGAGAGTCTCATACAAATGAATTTATGTTGATGTAAGAAAACAAATGTTCCAAGATTAAATTCATTCAGGCTCAACGTGATGTACGCTCAATCCATTCATAGTGCAAGTAAACTTCTTAATCATTATGCGTTTCTATTTCCGCGGTACAGTTAATGGCAATGAATGTGAAGATCTCTGTACCAATATATCGGCATAAAACAATTGGATGTGCAACATTCATTAGCATCTCCGTATTTTCAGTGTGTCAGCATGCAATTCTATCCCTCTAAAAATAGTAAAGATTTCAAGCTAATTAGTGTCATACGTTTCGAGTTTACATAAGGAATAAAGTGCGACGACATTCTGCACGTCGAGCGTTACCCATTGTATTATTTTAGTCTGATTCCGTGCACCATGCCAAGTCGTTGTGATTATTTTAATTTAAACGAAACATTCTCATATGTGACAAAACCACTCCACATGTATTTAAAGTGATCAGTGAGAATATTGAAGATGAAATTAGTATATATTGGGCTGCAAAATTCCTTGATTCAAATTCGAAATGACAAAACGATTACTGAGAAATTGGACATCGATCCCGTCACTTCTTGCACTTATCAATTTTATATGTGCATATTTCCCATCATGTCGACCACCACTAAACCGAGGATCTTCTTTTATATTATGTTGATGTTCAGCCTTCAGGGCGAATTGATTCACTGTTCGTGCACCACTTTTCTTTTCAATTACCTTCTTGTCACGTTCTACATTTAGAACAAATTGGAACTCCACCGTCACAACGTGAAGTATTAGGGGTTTGGACTGCTCCATGAGTGCGTAAAGATGAGTACGGATTTCAGAACCAGATTGTGACTGCTATCGGCTGGCAGAAATTGAGAGTTTGATCTACTTCTGGGTTATCTCACCTAGATCAAATTGTTGACATGCTCGATTCTTCTCGTCAGCTTGAGTGATGGAGTGATTATTAGGTCCGTCGAATAATGTTAGACATCTGTGATGATCGTAGAAAGTGGATGTTTGTCCGGTCACACTTCCAATAATATTAATGATTATCATTCTATTGCAAAGTGATGACATATTTGAAGTGTGTATTGTTTATTGTCTTCTACAGGTTATTTATCCTTTATATTGTAAAACGAATTTATGGACATGGGCTGTCAGTCTCCACAACCTCTATACTAATAATTATCAGAATTAATTGATTGAGATCATGAAGCGATTGATGTTAGACCACCGTTGGAAATCTCGAGGTACTAGACGGCCGTTTCGTCCTATTGTCGATCCCGCTCGCGGGATTCGAACCCACCGCCTTCAGTCTCGCGCGTGAACGTTTCACCTACTAAACCACTGAGCCGGCATCCAATGATGTGTCTAACATCAACCAATCCACGAAATGATCTCAATCAAAAACTTAATAATCTCCACAACCTCTATACTAATAATTATCAGAATTAATTAATAAACTATTCATGAACGATATACTTTTCGTCTGCAGTACGTCAAGGATTAATACTGAAATAAAACATTGTTGTTGACATTGTTAACAGGAGGTTGTGAAGATTATTATCTTTTTGATTGAGATCCCGAGAGTGAGATTGTGAATGCGCACTGCTGAAGAGTCACAAAATAGGACGAAACAGCCGTCCAGTGCTTTCAGGTTTTCAATGGTGGTCTAACATCATTCGATTCATGATCTCAGTCTAAAATATTATTCATATTGTCAGTTCTCTTTCATGCTCATTTGTATACTATTTTTAGAGTTAATTAACTTAATTAACCCTGCAATCATTATTAACATTCCTTTTCACTCATTTGATTAATAATAAGAATAAGAATAAGAATAGAAACAATAAGAGGTTTGATATTTCTCTACAGAAATATTTTAGCCGCTCATCATACGTGATCTTTGATAAAAACGTGATTTGGATCGGCTTCCTTCTATTCTGTACTTTAAATAAGTGTTACCGCTTTCATAATTTGTTCCGCAAAACGAAACCGTAATAACATTCCAAAGATGAGTGGATCCCTTGTGTATTGCATGAAAAACAGTCTATCAATATTATTAAGTCACTGTAACAATCCGATGACATATTTTGATCCACGACCATGTCATAGCTTTCATTGATTAATTTCCAACTTGATCATTGCTGTACTTTGATCACGAAGAAGAAAGTGCACCTCACACACAAGGAGGTGCTCTGATGCTGTCCAAGGAAGTACGAAAAGCATTTATAGAATGAGAATCTCATGGACCCACAATCATTAAATGATCATTCAAAACAAAGTAGGAGGATATTACAATGAATGTTATCCAGTACTAGGCAGCCGAAAATGACGCGCATTTCAAAAGAATGAATAGCAACTGAGAACAACTGGAACGGATTTTTCGGGATTGAGTTCGATGGAGAATTCTGATGTGTGGCACATGCTCTTCCACCATTCTACTTGTCATTTTATCTCATCATCTGTATCTTAACAACGTATATTAGGACGTTGAATTTTGAATAAGTTTCATCTGAACAGTTAAATTTCTTTCTCTTTTTCAACGAGATTGTTGACATCGTGACTTGTATTTCGTTTCATTCATTGCATATAACCTGATCGATATTATTATCTGGTATTTACGAGTTTTAGAGTTATGCCAACCACTTGCTTTACTGTGAATAAGATCAGCAACTGAATAGTGAATCCGAAGTAACTTCTACAAACGAGAATATGACTGCCGCTTCACCGAAACATAATCCCATAAAGAAATTCTGAAAACTTAATACAGCATGATTATCGAGTAACCCGACCCAGAGCACAAATCAGTGTGTTAATCACTGAAATTATAATGCGTTTGGAACGTATAAAAATCTAAAGTGTACAACGTTTAACAGAAGTAAATAGTGAAACAAAGATCTACCATCAATTATCAACTAGAACATTCAGTCTAATAATCAAACCACACTATCCAATATGCGTCCATATAAAGTGTACAAAATTATTAACAATGAGGCATTAAGAACTCTATGCCCGACAACGCATCGGTATTTGTTATGACCAGTGAATTAGTGGCGAAGAACAATAAGATCGTTCAGACATTATTTTCATAATTTCACTACAATCGCATCTTCTACATTACGTTCGCCGGCTTCCCATCATTCAGTTAAAATAACAGTCCTAAACAAAGCAATCAACCCATGTCATCTTGTCACATTCACACACACTTCTATTGAGGCCATCAAGAAATAACAGGAAATCCAAATTCAAATCAACAGCTGGTTACACACGGCAGTTTCGGTTGCGTTTGGTTTATCTCAGGGTACTTATTGAGTATTTGTTTGTAGTAGGGATCGATCATGTACCTTACTGTGACTGGAGATAATCTACACCGGAAAAATAATTTATACAAACAGATAAATCATTGTTTCTGTCAACTTACATCCATTTGCGCGTGTCGATGAGTAAATTATGGTGTTGTAGCAGGTCTACACCAATGATTGGCATAGAAGTATCTGCAACAACGAAAAGCCAGTGGATAGGTTTGCGTAGACCCATGTTAAGGTAGACGTACCTTTTACCATATGTGGCGTTAGGTTTGCCGTTTGCCGCCTGTAAGTTGAAAACCGGTTCCTGAAGTCGGTAGTTAGGGTTCACTGGAAGAACGCTAACTTCTGAGCCAGTGTCTACGAGGTAGCGAACTTTCGTAATCACATCAGTGACCTATAACAGACGGCTGTGTTTGCCGGCTACAGTTGCCGTTGACGTGTGCAGGCTGGGAAGTTTCCTGAAACGTTGTTCATGTCGGTCTGTTTGGATTTTGGAAAATTGCAGGGTTCTCTGCAATTTCGAGATTTCCTGTACTGATCATGATACCAGCACCAGTCGAGATTTTCTGTTCCTCGTGTTCTAGAGACAGATTGTTTCCGTAAAGAACTCCTTCAAGGGGTCAGTGTATGACATACTTCAGTATGTCACTTTCACTAAGAAAACTTCAGCGTTAGAAAATCTAGTGATCTCTAGAATGCGGTCAGCGGATGCAGACAACTTGTTGTTTTGAAACGAGACAAGCACAGCTTGCAACTGTTGAGGAAATTTAGACAAGAAATGTTGTCTGAACAGCTCATCATCGAATGTACTTTGACCAATTACCTCTCTCATTCAAAACAAAATGTCTGCCGCAGAATCATGTTGCAGGTCGATGTTATTAAAGAGTTGATCTAACCTTTGTTGATCGGTTAGATCTCCGCGTCTCAGAATAGACCGTTTCGGAGATTCGTAAGGTCCCGAAATATCACTAGCAAACATACTAGGTGTGACGTACCAGTTGAAATCGCGCGATAGTGCTCTTGCCACTACGAGAAGTAGTGCACGTTTATGAGTCACGCCGTGCTCGTAGAAGTCGGCCTCTGAGTAGCAGAACCAGGCTTCGATTTTGTCGGCCAAAATGGTATTAGTTGAAATGGAAGTGATGTTATTGTCTTGAACTTAGGAGTCTGTTCTTTCATGGCAAATATGAAGTACAGGAATGAAAGAGGATACAAATATTCAAAACCACGAAAAATAACAAAATGTATGACAATTAAAACAAAACCATGATATATGAAGTTCCAAAAAGAAACAAACACTCGGTTTACAAGTTGGTGTGCCAGATCACGTCGGCTCATCAATGAAGGTACCACAGGTATTTCTGGTTTGACAACACTTTGTCCAATAACACCTTCTATAATTGAATCGTGCCCACCCAGTGAAATAAAAGTCAGAAGCGGGGAGGTTCGAAGATATATCTGATAGGTTATAAATATATGGGGAAGCGACTGATGTAAACTGGCTGGCGGCTTCATGAGAAGTTAAGCAAGGCGTTCTCACTTGTGATCTGGTGCGGATGCACGACCGAGAGCCTTCAGCTAGGTGGGTCCATG